GAGGTCCCTTCCAACCCCGAACATGCTGTGATTTTGTGATTCTGTGATATGCTCCGTCCATGTTGCGGCTCAACGTGAGGCTTGCCTTGTCTAAATCTAGGGGTGGGGGCATCCACATGTAGGGTCACTGGTGTGAAATTATAGCATTGCATGCAGGGGACTGAAGTTGTATTCTTCTTCAGGAGGGAGGTCACGCCATGGGGCAGGACCATGCTTCTGCTTAAAGACAGGCACAAACAAATCCAGGAGTGTAACTGTAAGTGTTACACGAGAGATCAGCGTCTCACAGTCACGGCAGACTTTGGTCAGAGTGCTGATATCCATCCAGCATTTACCTGTTGCTGGATTCCAGTCCATTGATGGCGGTGCCCTGAATCAAATCTCATTGCTTGTGTGGCTGCATTTTCCTTGAAGTGAAGTGAAATCTTAATGTTTATCTTTTAGTGAAATTCCCTACTCTAGCTTCTTTATTTCCATTGCCAGTCCCTGAATTTCTCTGATAGCGCAGCTGAAGTTGCACAAGTCTTTGTCAGGTTGAAAGCTACTGCAATTCATCTTCAATCAAAACTAGTTCAGACTGGCCAAAAGGTTTGTTAGTAGTTACTGATTTTATCATAGAAGTGACAAGGTGCAGAAGAGCTGGAATCATTGCTCTGCATAGGAAGCGTTGCCCCAAGTTTGTAAGTAGAATAAAATAGATTCCTTTACAAGAGCTGTGCCTGGATGATACTCAGTACTGAAATCACTCCAGATGCAATTTTTTTTTGTATGTATATGCTTTTGTGTCAAAACTATGTAAAACTTCTCCTTCCTGTTAATTATGCAGCATTTGGAGCTCCTTCTAAAACAGATAAGTGAAAGAGAAGCCAGAAAACTAAAATCATAGAACAGGGGTGCGTGTGCTCATGACAATAAAAACATATATCATTTTCGCACAGACCTTGCTATAATACTAAGGAGTCTTATTAATGAACATTGTAGCTGTATGTTTTTGCTGAAATGAAGATATCGGGTTTGGGGTAAACCAGCTACAAAAGTCAAAGGTCCAGTCCTCTGTTACGGCTGAACTTTTGCAGAATATAAAAATATTGGCCATTTTGTTGACTTGACTACTTTCACCTTTTTGTTAGCTTCATCAAAATGGTGCCATAACATACACTGCAGAGTTTGCACCTCTCTGGGAGCTGAAACTCAGCAAAGTATCTGCTTTCTTAAAACGGAATGTCTGAACTCTGGTAGTTATGTGAGACCCTTCCGCTGTACATCTTCATGGAAACTGGTTTAATAGCTGGCTCATCCTTGCCTGTAATTAACAAGGAGAACAGGAGTGAGGAAGCTTTTGATCTAGAAGAGAGGATGGTGGAGGAGGTGAATGCCATCTCACCATTCATTGCCTGCTTTGGTTCTTTTCTTTAGCTCGATAGGAAGTGTTGGAAGAAGTCCAGGTTTTATGAAGGAGAGGCAGTTCTTGAAGAGCTGGATGATGCTGGAAAAAAAGAAGATCAAATTAGTGGTGTAACGAATTGGAGTGTAGCAATGCTTGATAAAGATCCCCAGTTCTAAGCAACTGTAGGACATTTTCATCTGGTAGTGACTGTGAAAAAGGGACTGCTTATGACCTACCGATGACTTTCTGCAGGATGGCAGCAAAGTAAAAAGCTGCAAGGAGGGGAAACTGATTAAAC